AGCTCCCCGGCTTTGCTCTGCAGGCGGGCTGTGATTGGAACTGGTCTGGCTCGCACACTGAGAAGCCACAGAGCCCGGGACAGCGGAGGTGTGTGGAGGGGAGCACCGGCAGCCCAGCAGGAAAGCACCGGCATCCCAGCAGGAAAGCAGCGAGCTTCCGAGGCCCAGGCGCCCAAGGGGGCCAGGCATACATGTCTGTGCGCCAGGCAAATGGGTGTTCTGTCCCAACATGTCAGCCTGCGCCTGGGCATCCCGGGACTGGGCTTCCCCCTTCCTCTAGGAGCCAGGGAGGGGAAGGCAGCCCGGGGAAGACCGCAACCGGCCCCAGGCCAGAGCTGAGTGTGTGGGCCTTGTCCTCCAGCTGGGTGTGTGCTCAGACCTGAGAAACCGCCCCCAGCAGCTCCTCCTTGAGGTGCGGCCGGCCCCTGCCCCATGTGGATGACCGAGCCTTGCTGCGCCATCGGCTTTCCCTCCCCTGGCCGTGGATAAGAGAGGCATGCCCCGACTTCTGGCAGATCAAAGGGCTTGCTGGGCCCAGCAGGCTGCCAGGGAGCCTTGCCTTGAAGTCCACTGCCCCAGCTGGGGTTTGGAGAGAGGCGGGGCTTGGTAAGGGTAGGACCACTTTTGCAGAATAATGGCACCCAGATTTTCTGTGTCCTGCAAACTTCCCCCAGATGCTGCCCCAAAGGGCCGTCTGCCAAACTTGGGGAGCAAGGGTGCTGTGCAGCTAAGACTCAGAGCTGAGCTTCTCTGGAGCGCATACCAGGCCTAGGCTTAGTGGCAGGGGGTGGGGAGGAGGGGGTAGATGGAATGGGGCTTCTAGAGTCCCACTGATTGTCCAGCAGGGCCAGACCAAAGCCACATTTCAGAGACTGCACACTGAAGCCATCCCTGGGGGTGGTCTTGGGCCCAGGTCCTTCCTAAGGACAAGAGAACAGTTCAATGAGCTGACATGAGAGACTCAAAGCATTTTTCCCAAATGCTACCATCCTGAGACAGGGCAGCGGAGGCCAGAGAGCAGCTCGCCTCCTGTCTCCAGGGTCCTACAGAGCCACTCAGAGCCCGCCAGCCTGAGCTTCTGTCCATCAGGGACTCTGAGTGCCACTGCAGAAAGCCCTGCCCGGCCAAGCCTCACCGAGGCCCAGGGTCACACCCTGTCCATCAGCCACACCCTGTGGTGCCCACTGCTTCCAGCAGGCTGTCCCTCCCCCCAATAGGGTCCCTAGCGTCCTGCAGAGCTACAGGACCCTGTGTCCTCTGCTCTGGCCCAGGGCATCACACCACCTCCCAGGGCCCCCATGGATCAGGGTGCTCCAGCCCAGTCACCCCTGCCCTGTGCCCTCTGACCTCACACATCTTATCGCCAGCAGGACTCAGCCCTTGTCAGGGGACACAGCTAGCAATAACATTCTGAGCAGGCACACATGGATAGAAGCAACTTTTGACTGTTCAGTCTACTTGGAAACTTGCTTTCGGGTTACCAAAAGTCATCATGAGGCCCAACAGAGAAAAAACCCTGTTGCTCCCCAGTAGCACCGCCAACGGGCTCACACCCCTAGGTCGAAATCGGGGGCCCCGCGTGCCCAGGCTCCTCCTGGGCAGAGGCAGGAAGCGGAGGGCAGAGGGACCCTGAGCTGCAACACGTGCCCTCCAGGACTCAGGCCGCTCCTCCAGAAGAGGAAATGTGGGGGAGCCCACAGGCGCCCCACTGAGATGACCCTAAATGGCCCCTTTCTTCCCAGCTCCTCACTTCACAGCAGGGCCAATCCAGCGTCTGTCCCATGCCGCTGGCTCAAGGACCCAGGCAATTTTCGTTTTTATGAGTGGGCAAACAAATGGCCCACTCGAACCTTCCCCCTTGCTGCCGTACGTGTGCACCCACAAGCGGACAGGCCGACACCCCAAGCAGGAAGGGGTGGCCCCATCCCCGCGGCTGGGCCAAGGGGCACACACAGCGAGGGCTCGTCAGCCCTGCACCCTCACCCCCAGGGATCCCCTGGTGAACCCCCCAATCCCCACTGCTGCTCCTGCCCAGCCAACGGAGGCTGTGGTGACGGCATGGGGGTGCTGGAGAACAGGGTGACATGGACCTGGCAGGCTCAGGTGGTCCCTCCCCAGTGTGGCCCGGACCTGGTCCCCATGTCCCCAGCTGCTTCTGCCAAGCTGTGCCCAGGCCTGGCTGACGGGCGTCCTTCATCTGGCAGGAAGGGTGGCCCACTGAGGCAGCCTGGGTCTCGGGAACAGGAGCTCTTGGCCGGCACGTGAGGCAGCTGCTCCCAGCAGATGACCCAGGATGGAGTTCAGGTCTGTAAAACCCAAGTATGCCCCTTGGTGGGGGGAGGGGGGCAAGGAAGGCTCTGTGGGTCAGACAACTGGACAGAAAGATGGCAAGGGATTCCGGGGTGCAGCCAGGACCTCCCCCCCAATATGCCCCCGCAGCCCCCGTCCCCACATAGGCAGCCTTTGGGAGAGCCACCTCCAGCAGTGACCACCTAGCGGCCACATGTCTACAACAAACTTGCTGGCTGCCCCCTGTGCTCGGCCTCCCTGCTCCTTGTCATCAATGCTCTCCAGCAAGTGCGGCCCCCTCAGAGCCAGGAGGACCACCCCGCCTACGGCCCTCCTGGCCACGTGCCAACCCCACAGAGAGGCCCAGTCACAGCTCCTCTCCTTGCCCCCAGGGCTAACTGCAACGATTCAGGGAGCCGGAAGCCCTTCTCGAGGGGATGGAGCCATGCCACACCTTGGAGGTGCCCCAGCTGGGCCATCCTGGAAACCTGCCATAGAAGCATGGCCCGTGGACCTTCTGGCCACACTGCTGTCTGAAGACCCAGCAATACCCTGGACACTGACCCCACCCTGAGGAATTTCCCAGTCTGGCTAGATTAAGAGGTGGCAACAGTGATCACCAAAACAAGACAGGAAGACCCTCAAGCAGGTTGAAGCCTCAGTCCTGGCTCCCGCCAGACCTGGAAGCACATGGCTATAGACGGGGCCTGAGCCAGTGCTCCTAACCCTCCCAGGGGTGGCCTCCGCCAGGCAGGCATGTGGTGTGGCAGGGAGAGGTGTCCAGGTGGCTGTGCCAGGCGTGGGCAAGGAGTAAGCCTGTGTGTATGTGCGCGCTGTAGGGGGGGGGGGGGGCTCTATGAGTCACCAACACGATGAGGCAGCAGGTGCGTGGGGAGGGCAGGAGGTCTGTATACTTGGGTTGGGTCCTCATAGCCTCCCTCCGTACAATGACTCAGTGTCTCTGGGTGAAGGGAGCAGCCTTCTCTGGGAGGTGGGGCAGGAGACCCCAGGCCCCTTCTGGGGCAGCTGAGTCAGTCCCTCAGGGAGGCAGGGGAGGGATGGCGGTCCCCCGACCCTGCTCACAGCCCACCCGGCTGATGGCCTGCAGACCAGGCAGGGAGGTGTGGGTGGCACCCCAGGGGCCTGCTCCCAGCAGGGAGGTCCAAGTCCAGGCACTCAGGGCCACGCTGCGGGTCATCTCAGGGTCCTCCTCAGGGATACCACCAGGGGTGCCGGATTATTTGCTTTCCTCCCGTTTCTGCCAGTTAGGCATCCAGGTTCATGGCCTGGTGGTCTCTGAGGCCTTTGCCCACATGGCAGTGGGGAGAGCAGGAGGCCAGGGGAGAGGCCCAGCAGCCCGAGAAGAAAGAAACGGAGAAGCCCTCCAGACACCAGCGCCCTAGTCTTCTTACCTGCCTCTTCACAGATTCCCCCCACCCCACCCCCGCAGGCCCGGTTCCCTCTGCAGCTAGGGGCGCTGCCCACTCACTGCACCAGCCTGCACCGGGCCTGTCAACCCCACCAGCCTCACCAGGAGCTCCCCGTCAAGCCCTCTGACCTGCACGCTAGCCTCACCTCCCAGACTACCTGACCTGTTGTTGTCTGGAGAGGCTACCTGCCACCGCCCAGCGCCCCAAGCCAATAGGGACGTTCTGCCTCGGTCACATTTGTTTCTCCGGGACCCACGCGGAGGGACCAAAAGCCCGCTGACAGTCTCCAATAACTAAGTCGTCGGCCGCCTGTCTGCAGGGCTGGGAAGGGTGGGGTCTGGTCTCCCAGCTAGTTTCCAGCGCACAGCCCCCCATCCGCCCCCACAAAAACCTCAGGTGCGAGCTGGAGCCGTGGGGGGGGGGGGCGCCGACTGCAGTGGACATAGGGGGCGAGGGGCTGGTAAAGGGGTGCAGGCGAGGAGGGGGCGGGGCGCAGAGGAGAAGGAGGCGCTGCGGGAGGGGAGGAGCGGGGCGCGCAGCCAGGGCGCACGGAGGCAGGGCGGGAGCGAGGGAGGCGGAGACCGGAGGGAGGCCCAGTTCGGCCGGGGGCGGGGAAGCCTCTGATAGGCGCGCGGGCGGCGTGACGTCATGTCCGGCGGGGGAAGCCCTGCCTCAGCGCCCCCGCCCCCGCCCCCCCAGGGGGGTGCCGCCACCCGGGGCGCTGGACTGGGGGGACCCGCCCCCGGGGACCCCGCCACGGCCCGCGCTCTCCCCGGCGGCCCCGCCCCCCTCCGGCCGTCCGCAGCTTCCCGCTAGCCGGCGAGGCCCAGGACCGGCGGAGCTGGAAGAGCGCCTGGCGCGCCCCTCCTCGCGCCCCTCCTCGCGCCCCGCGCCGCGCGGGGCAGCACAGCTCCCCGCCCCGCGCGCCCCGCCCCTACCCGCCCCGCCCCTGCCCGCCCCGCCCCTGCTCGCCCCGCCCCGCCCCGCCCCCTCCCCGGCTGCCGAGGGGCCGGGCCGCCCGCAGGGGAGGCGCCGAGCCGGGACTGCGCGCTAGCTCGCGGCTCTCTGTGCAGCCCGACCGAGCGGCAGGACCTCGCGCCCCGCGCGCCCCGCGCCGCCGGCTTTTGTTGTCGCCGCTTTCTCGGCCGCCGCCGCCTGCGGACCGCGAGACGCACGCGCCGGGACCTTGGCTCTGCCCTTCGCGGGCGGGGGCTGCGCGGCCCCGGGCGGGATCCGAGAGAGGCGCGGGCGGGCGTGCGGCCGGGGCGCCCCGGCCCCGCCATGGAGCTGCGGGCCCGAGGTTGGTGGCTGCTTTGCGCGGCCGCCGTGCTGGCCGCCTGCGCCCGCGGGGACCTTGCCAGCAAGAGCCGGAGCTGCAGCGAAGTCCGCCAGATCTACGGCGCCAAGGGCTTCAGCCTAAGCGACGTGCCCCAGGCGGAGATCTCGGGTAAGTGAGGGCGCGGCCCGGGGGGCCCCGGACCCCGGCGTGTCTGGGGATTCTCCTGCGCTCTCCTGCTCTCCCCTGGTCTGCCCTGCGCCCAGATCGCGCCGCCTGTACCCCGCTCTGCACCCCTCGGGCCCTCGCCTCCAAGTGCCGCCCGGGTCTCCTGCGCTCCGTTCGGCCGCCCTCCAGCCCCCAGCACGCACACCGGCCCCTTCCCCCGCGGAGCTGTCCTCGTGGGGCTGTGGGCCGGGCCGTCCCCGGCGGGGAGCGTCCTCCAGGGCCACAGCTAGAGCTGAGCGTCTTCGGCCATTGGCTCGGCACTGCGCGGTGGCGGGGCAGGAGTCGGAGCCCCCGGGCGCGCTGGGCTGGCTGCGGGGCTGGCTGTCCGGGCGCAGCTGACGGCGGTCTCGGGCTGGGGACTCCCAGTTGGCTGTTAGGGCTTCTCCGGGAGCCGCCTCCGGTCGGGCCTGAGGATTCCTGTGGGATCCCCAGCAGCGGCAGCCTAGCTGGGTTCAATTAGAGGTCCCCCATTCCTGGCGGGAGTGGGGCCCCTGCGAGGTGGAGTGCTAGCCCGGTGCCTGGGGTGGGGGTGAGGCACGACCTCTGCCACCTGGAGCGGGAATGCCTGTAAACCCGGATTCCTGCCTTGGGAACTTGTGCTCGCTGGCCCGCTGGCGGGGCACTCCAGGCTGCCTCTGGCGGGGAGTTGAGCTGCAGGTGGTCGGCGCCTTGGATCCCGCCCAGGGGCCTTGTCTTTTCTTTGTAAGAGCATCGACCCTCCCAGGCATCCTCAGGCTTGCAGCTGCCCTCAGTCCTGCTCACCCTCTCCCTGTGAGCCTCTGAGGAGCTTTGGAGCCAGGGTATGTGAGGGTGGGGGGTGGAGTACAGTGTCCAAAGGACCACCCCGACCCCCGGGCTCCTCAAACTGCAAACGTGTGGGGAAGCGCACTGGGTCCTGTGTGGTGTGCCTGGGACCAGGGAGCAGCAGCAGAGCAGTCCAGCATTCCTCCAGGGAGGGATTTCTCCCAAACTAAGGGCAGGCATGTGCAAGTAAGAGCTCTGCTCAAATGGTGACCCCGGGAGGACGAGGAATGACCACTGCAGAAATTCTGAATGACAGAGATATGGAACATTGTGAGGCCCATGGCCCTGCCTCTCTGGGGAGTGGGAGAAAGGCAGCTGGGCTCTGGCCCCCTAACCCCCAGAAGGTCGGACACAGAGAGAGCTGCCTTGAGAGGTCCTTTGACCTATCTGCCCATCCTCCAATGTTCTGGAGAGCCCCCCCTCACAGGGACCCCAAAGCAGGCCTTCTTGTGTCTCCCTCTGCTGAAAGTTCCTATCACTAGCAGGACTGCCTCTCTGGTGGGACAAGTGGACATGCCTGGGTGCCTGGGGCCGGCTCGGGGCCCTCTGCCCACCACTGCCCCTCCTCCCACACAAACAGGAACTTTTGCCTGGGTGTCCCTGGCCTTCCCGCTGGATCCTGCCCCATGCCTGGGTCTCAAGGTCCACTGAGCCACTGCCCCCACCAAGCCCCAGATCTTGGATGGAAGCCTTCCCCTGTGCCTCTCTTTCTTATATCCACTGCCATTGGCCATTGTGTCCTTAGGGACCATCCTAAACTTACTCGAATCCACAGGCCTCTGTCCTGGTTAGGCCGAGAGACAGAGTGGCAGAGTCTGGGCAGCCGCCAACGGCTGGGAGACAGTGGGGCAAACGGAATGCAGAGGTGGGGCTGGGCTGGGGCTGGGAGCTGGGTTTTGTTCCCCTTCAGTTGGACGCAGTGGAGTAGGGACCCAGGGCGATCAAAGTGCATCTCAGTCTGTGAGTGTGATGGGTGCACATGGGGTGCTGTCTGTCTGTCCAGCTGGAGGAGGATGGCTACTCAGCAGCTGTCTTAGCATCGTGCAGGTCAGGGCTCGAGTGCCGCCCTCCCCTGGGCCTGGAACGCTGGGGACTGTGCTCCGGGCAGGGTCACCACCCTCCCTGCCAGGGCCCCTTCCTCCCGGCGCCCCAAGCCTTCTCCATCCTAGGGCCAAGGTCTTCAGAGGAGCTCCTCTCCCTGACCCCCTGCAGCTAAAGCTCCCATGAGCACTGCAACTCCAGAGGGCCCTACAGGGCCAGGCACTGAGATGAGTGCCAGCGCCACGTGGAGCAAAGGATACAGGGTGACCTCCCGGGGCAGCAGCAAGCCCTGTGTCCCCTCCTGTTGCGACTGGGCCTGGCCTCTGTGGGCCAGGCGCCCTCTGGTGGCCCGAGCCACACGGCCTCTCTGGGAGCCCTGGCTTCAGTCTCCTCTCCCAGGCGCCCGGCCACCAGCTCCCTGCCCTGGGGTCGCCACCTGGTGAAAACCCACCCTGATTCAGCTGGCCCAGGTGGTGGGGGAGAGGGTAGGGAGGCAAGAGAGGGCCCTGGGTCTTCGGGCTGTGTTTCCAGCCTCCGTTGGGGGACCAGAAATGTCAGTGAGCTTGTGAGAGTGGGGAATGTCGGGGCTCCCGGGGATCCCAGGGCTCCTGTTTGGGACTTCCTGTGATGTTTTTGGGTGGCTGGGCCTGGCATTCGGTGATGACAGCTGTCGTCGTTTTACAGGGGAAGAAGCGGTCCTGGGGGTTTTGCAGCCCGGTAAGGCCACAGGGGAACCCTCCCTCTGGCCAGTGTGCTTCAGAGCCAGTGAGGGCCACCAGTCCAAGCCTGCCCAGGGCCCCTCTGCCAGGCGTGGGGCAAACGCCAAGCCCCATGCTGGCTCACACAGGCACGTAGGCCCACCGGTGCTGACCAGCTTGCTCCTGGTTCCCAGCTTGCTCCTGGCTCCTGGACATCTCTCAGCACCATTCTGCCTCCCGACACTCGAGTGATGACCTTTGCATGGCTCTGACCCTTCCTGGGCTGCTGGGGACAGGGACCACCTCTGTCTATACACTTCTCTGCCATAGCCACAAAAGCTGGCCCAGTTCCCGGCACTGGGGAGGTTCTCAGTCTGGGGACCCACCTGTGTCCTGCTCTCTGCTGAGCCATGCAAGGTGGGCGGGGGCTGACCAAGGGCCTGGGCAAAGTGGGAGGAGTCTAGGGATCCAGCACTGGGGGTTGGAGGCCGGAGGGGCCTGTCCATGCAATGAGAACCAGTTAGCTGCCCCTCTGCCCCCTTGCCAGCAGGGCTCCTGTGGACTGCGGAAGCCACAGCAGGGACCACACTTGGGCCCATCGACAGAAACTATGGCTTCTGTGCACCAGCTTTGACTGCGGGGGTGGCAAGGGATTCTAGGGGAGAGCCCTCAGAAGCTCCAGCCCTGCCCCCCACACCCCAGGGAGGGCCATCCTGGCTGGGCCCAAGAGAACCCACCCAGCATCTGTCCCTGAGCTGGGGGCTGGGGGCTCTCCCAAGCCACCTGGCTCATGGCCTGCGTCTCCAGGCCGTCCTCAGCCCCCAGTTGTGCCGCCACTCTGGCCCTCCACTGTTCGAGGACCTGTGGTTTCATCATCCCCAGCTTTGAGACGGGGGAGGCACGTGGTGGGGAGGCCCAAGGGAGCCAGGATTCGCAAGGGCCACCCGCATGATGCAACGGTCTGAGCACCTTGCCGGACATGCTACTGTGCTCCTGCGAGAGGAGGGACATCCTCCCCGGGCCTGGGTTCAGAAGGCAGTCCTGTTGCGCCAGCTTCCTGACCCACTTGGCTTCTCTGCCTCTGCATCTTCACGTATGACAGAGTAACAGTCACAAGCCCCCTGAAGATCCCCAGGAGGGACACTGGCCCCATGCACTGCCTCCTGGCTCTGGTGCATGTTCTGCCCCTCACCCCTGCCCCGAAGTCTCTGCTGGCCCGGGCAGAACCCCTCAGTCAGCGGTGTCCAGCGCTTGAGAGCCCTTTTTAGGACCAAGACTCGGTGCACGTCTCTTTCCGCTTCTGTCTCCCTGACCCATCAGATGAGGACAGGTGTTCTTAGACCTGACTTACCGATGAGTAAACCAAGGCCCAGGGAAGCCACGTAACTTTGCTAAGCGCACGTAGACCACATGAGACAGGCCACTAGGGATGGCAACCCAGTCTGTTGACCCCAAAGCCTGTGGCATTCACTGCTGCCCAGTCCTGGGCTCCCGAGTTTTCTGGAGGTCTCAAGCCCTTCCAGTCCAGAGGCCAGGAATAGAAATCCCAGGCCAGGCCACAGCCGACTATCAGCTGCCTTTTCCCGATGCCTCTCTGGGGCCTGGCTCCGTTTCTGAGGCCAGCTAGGAACCTTTGTGAGCCGAACTCCCCCTGAGCCTTTGGTCTGGCCTCCCTGTCTCCATCAGGACAGGGCTGTGGGTGAATTGGCCTTCTATGTAGCTGGGCTTTGTCCTCCGCCTGGTCCTCCATGCCTGTCTGCTGAAGGCCAGCTCTTCAGTGGGCCTCGTGGTGTACTGCTCCTGCCCTGCTAACTAGGGCTGTTCCTAGGCACCAGGGTGTGAATCAGGTGACCCCTAGGCGGACACAGGGTGGCCCGGCTGTGTCTTACTGGCCAGTGCAAGGAGCAGCCAGTATGTCCCCCGCACCACACTGGGCCGGGTCCCCCAGGAGTCACAGACAAATGCCTGGGCAAGTGAGCCTAGGAGACAGGAGACGTTGGTCTGGTTCCATGCAGGCAGTAATGAAGGAACAGTGTAAGCCTGAGCTGGAAGGCCTTTGGGGCCACAGAGGCCTCCTGGGAGAGGGACTGGGGACATACTGGCCTGGCAGCAGGCCGGGCGTCAGAGCCAGGAGGAGAGCCCAGTTGGCTGGTGTGGGCGTGTCCAGGCCCAAGCTGGGATATCCACACCCACAGGCACAGGTGTCTGTCTAGCCGGCCCTGGACAGGAGACAGGCCGGGAGAGGGGCTCACCCCGGGCCACCAGGAATCAGGTCGGGCATGGGACCAGCATCCACCACTCCCAGGCCTGGACATGCCTGGGCAGAGAGAGGCTGGGCACCTCTCTCATAACCCAGAGTCTTCTTCCAAGACCTGCTTTGGTGCAGTGTGTCACACCAAG